AGATAGATAGATAGATAGATAGATAGATAGATAGATAGATAGATAGAATTCTTTATTGACCAAGTGTGATTGGACACACAAGGAATTTGTCTTGGTGCAAATGCTCTCAGTAAACATAAAAGAAAAGATACATTTGTCAAGAGTCAAGAACAGAGGTGGTATTCAGCAGGTTCTGACCAGTTCTGGAGAACCGGTAGCAGAAATTTTGAGTAGTTCAGAGAACCGGCAAATACCACCTCTGACTGGAGATTTTACAGTATCCTTCTCCTGCCACACCCACAAAGCCACAGAACCAGTAGTAAAACTTTGAATCCCACCACTGGTCAAGAATCATAAAGTACAACACAATAATAGTCATAGGGTACAATAAGAAATCAAATCATACTAGGAAACAGTCAATATAAATTGTAAGGATACAAGCGACAAAGTTACAGTCAAACAGTTATTAGTGGGAGGGGAGGGGCAATAAGGAGTGATGGGAAGATTAATAGTAATAGTAGTGCAGACTTTGTAAATAGTTGGACAGTGTTGAGGGAATTATTTGTTTAGCAGAGTGATGGCGTTCGGAAAAAAACTGTTCTTGTGTCTAGTTGTTCTGGTATGCAGTGCTCTATAGCATCGTTTTGAGGGAAGGAGTTTTATGTCTGGGATGTGAGGGATCTGTCAATATTTTCACAGCCCTCTTTTTGACTCGTGCAATATACAGGTCGTCGACTGAAGGCAGGTTGGTAGTAATTGTTTTTTCTGCAGTCCTAATTATTCTCTGGAGTCTGTGTCTGTCCTGTTGGGTTGCAGAACCGAACCAGACAGTTATAGAGGTGCAGATGATAGACTCCATAATTCCTCTGTAGAACTGTATCAGCAGCTCCTTGGGCAGTTTGAGCTTCCTGAGTTGGCGCAGAAAGAACATTCTTTGTTGTGCTTTTTTGATGACATTTTTGATGTTAGGTGTCCATTTTAGGTCATGTGATATAATAGAACCTAGAAATTTGAAGGTCTCTACTGTTGATACTGTGTTGTCTAGTATTGTAAGAGGTGGTAGTATGGGAGGGTTTCTCCTAAAGTCTACCACAATTTGTATGGTTTGAGTGTGTTCAGTTCCAGATTGTTCTGGTTACACCATGAGGCAAGTGATACAACCTCCCATATGCATGCGGATTCGTCGTTGTCTCGAATGAGACCAATCACTGTTGTATCATCTGCAAACTTCAGTATTTTAACAGATGGATCGTTTGAGATGCAGTCATTGGTATATAGGGAGAAGAGAAGTGGAGAAAGCACACAGCCTTGGGGGGGGGGGCTGTACTACTTGTACAGGTATCAGATGTAATTCTGCCTGGCTTCACCTGCTGCTTCCTGTCTGTTAGGAAGCTTATGATCCAATTACAAGTGTGTTCAGGTACTGCTAGCTGGTTTAGTTTATTTAGAAGAATATCTGGACTGAGATGCAAGTGACACTAAGGGCACAATGTAGTATGACTGCTGTGTAGATAGTTCATTCACAGATGGTTTGGATTTAAACTCACATCAGCCTTACATGCATTAACGTAGTGCTGATACGGTTAGTAGCCTTATCATATCTGGGATCCAGAAACCCATATGGCTACTGGATGGATGGAGTTTTAAGAAACTCTTTGCTGCCATCTAATGGCCATCTTGATTTATGTACACTCGTGAGATACCAATTGTCAGCATGATTAATGGTAAACTCAAAAATTTATTAGCACCAGTTTACCTGGAATATGCAGTTGTAGATTTCCTCTTTTTAAAGAAATTTTTCTCTCAGAAATATTCCTCTGACTCTCAAGTTTTTCCTTCCTGAGAAATGCTAAGACTTTTTAAAATATATATTTTATGTTCTCTTCCTGGTTTTTTTTTTTTTTTTTTTGCAATTGTGTAATATGTAGATTTGCCCACTTTGAGTGGGTTAGTTTGCTTGCATTTTTCAATGGACTTGCTCATTTCCATTAAAAATGTCATGCACAACTTCAAATGGCGAAGATGTCTCCAGAATGGAGGTAAAGCAATGTTTAATTTCTGCACATCAGTGTGCATTGAAAGGCAGATGCCAATAGAAATGTGCTAAACCTCATCCAACGCCAGCTTTCACTCACGAAATGATCTTGTGAATGTTTGCTTTTTGTGGCCTGAGAAAAATCTGAAAAAAAAAGGGGTGGCTTAAATCCCAGTTCTAATTACAGCCCATATATGAAATCATGACATGAAACAAGTATTGATCATGCTCTACTTAAAGGGAGTAAAATATTGGGGGTGAGGTGGCATTTTTTTACATTGCATGCAAGCAACATTACATTCTTCACAAGTGTTCTATTTAGGTAAAAATGTAGATGTCCAAAAACACAGTTTTGTACTAGGGCATCGTTTAAATAATATCATTAAAAGATAAGTAAACAAATCAGATGCACTCAATTTCTTTGTTTTGGGAGACAGTGACATAGTCTGCATACATTATGGAGAACTTTTGGAGGAATAGAATAGAATAGAATAGAATAGAATAGAATAGAATAGAATAGA